AATTCAGCGCCCAAAAACACGTCTAGCAGTATAGGTCTTATTTCAAATGGCCACTTTGAGTTGGGATCCTTCCCTGGTTAGAATGTTCGGGATAGGATCGTGAACCTTTGATTCTACATAAGAGCTTCGTTCAACTAAGTGCGCACTTGGCCTACTATTGATATGTGCCCTTCTTGAACTAGGACATTCCTTCATCTATAATTATTATACTTATGTGTCTAAACCCTGTCCAACTCATGTTTCTGGTCCCTACTCTGCTCCGGAAAGAGTGGTAATGCCCGCGCTTAAACGGAGAACAATTAAAAAATGCTCACTCCTACCTGCTGAATTGAGCGCGCATGCTCGGATTCAATCGAGAAGCTGACCCACAAACACTAATATCAAGTTTTGTAAATAATGATGCTCAATGGTGCATTCCGTGAGATGTGAAATTAATGTATTACAGCTGCCATAAAGGCCTATGTGCGATTTTTGCCCGCGGCAAGAGCTTTGTCCATGACCTGGCAATCCGTTTTGGCTTTCGTATCGCGAACTCGAAACGGGTAGTTAAGGAAAACATCACGTCGCATACCTAATATCGTAGTTTGATGCAAAACTGCTGAGTATTCGTTGGAGGGCAACTATGCTAAACTGGAATTTCTGCAACTTATAGGTGACTGCTACGCTGAATGTTGGCAGCTCAGTCCAACTGTAAGATGCACTGGAAACTACACGGATCACATCAAGCGTCATGCGTCTTAGTGATCAATGGAATCGTTGGCATTCCGAAAGCCGACAACAGGACTTCTTCTTCGGACACGCTATGCTTCCTGGTGCTTCGAGGACTCAGGAAGCACTGGGTTCTGACCTGACCAGGTGCTTCGAGTGGGCCAAAGGAAGCACTGAATGAAGCTCGATAAAACAAACCTGTTGTACTTCAACAAGACTTGTCAAACAGTGATGCAGAAGACTTTTTGTAGCGCCAAACTTTTTGTGGCGTGTGGGTCACGTAGGCACTACAAAGGCTCTGGCAATTGTAATGGTGAATTCGGTCATGGCTGATAACAACCTCAACGCAACGCATGCTGATCCTTGAATGTGCAGACTCGAACAAGCCCGCAATCCTTAGGGTGTCGCACACGTTATCTGAATCGATTTACAGCTTCAAATAGTCCCTTAAAGACCTAGACAAGTACTGACAAAGCAGATCTGCGATAGTCAAGTGCTGGTGACTGAGGTAAGCAGGCCTTTAAAGCGAATTATTTGTAGAATAGGCAGTTTCTGGGTGGCTGGCCTACTGCAGAAGCCGTTGAAATGAAACTCGTAGTATACAATGATAGCAGTGTATTCGTTCAATTACTCTGGCCCAACATCGGCAGTGTGATAAGAACCGAAAAGATTCCATCTTCAATGATGAGAAGTGACCACCTCTCAACTAAAAGCAAAAGAGCAGGGGAGCAGGATCAGATTGGGCTCCGCACACTAAGGCGTGCGTCACAACAAAGAACACGTCAAACAGGAATGATCTTTTTTGATCTGAGCTCCACTCCCGAGAATCTGGCAATGGGCTGTGGTGGGTTGAGGTTTTGCGAAAAGTTCGGTAACGCTCCGCTTACCGCGGGTGAGTCTGCTTCGTTCGATTCATTGACCTATTCCTAATCTTCGCCCACCTTTTTCGGTGTGCGGGCGTTTTGAAGCAGGACCATGAACTTTTTCCCATTGCACCACCCATTTCGGTGAATGCTCCACGTCTTGTGAGCAAGGTTACTTTGAGCTCATGCGTGCTCTGTTGATCTTGCCCGAAGTCCTTACCAACCCACTTTTGACCGGACTTATCGGCGTATTTAGAAAAAACGTTTCCGTCTCCCAACGTGTGAACGCTACGCCCACCGCCGGTGAGTCTTCCTCATTTTATTTGTTGACCTAATCCTCGCATTTGCTCTTTTTTCCCAGTTTATGGATTGCTGTAGGGTCAAACGAGAACGATCTGCCCAATACACCTCCCACTTCTGCGCATGTCCAGCCATCTGTTGGCGGAGCTCCGCTGAGCTGACATGTGCTCCATTGGTTTTGCCATATGCTCAACCCATCTTGGCCCGATCTCTCCAGATATTTCTATAAGTAATGTCCAATTTCGTGATAGACAGATGGACAGACAGACAGACAGACGCGAGCACTTTATATTATGTCGGAAGGAATGTCCTGCAACAAAAAATGTGAAGCGTCAGCAATTTGTATCAACAGTGTATACACGGTAGCAAGAGTGATAACCTTGTAGGACATTCCTCAGGTAATCACCACATGAGTAAATAAGTGCACGCGTGCGGGCTTTAGCAGCATTACGGACGAAAAATGGACAACACCCGATTCGTACCATCACCTTCTACTAAGCACGCCAAGGGAAAAACGCGGGTGTAGCGACTCAAATTATCAGCAACCTATTCAATTAAATTTGGCCAACAGGGTTAGAGAAGACGATCAAAACCGTGAAACACGTCCCTACAGAGGGACAGCGCACGTCGAAATTTTGCTTTAAACACGCGTCAAAGGTTCTACGATTCGATTTGNAAGGGAAAAACGCGGGTGTAGCGACTCAAATTATCAGCAACCTATTCAATTAAATTTGGCCAACAGGGTTAGAGAAGACGATCAAAACCGTGAAACACGTCCCTACAGAGGGACAGCGCACGTCGAAATTTTGCTTTAAACACGCGTCAAAGGTTCTACGATTCGATTTGATTCCAGGTTGTTCATATGTCGTACTCCCTAAGTGTTGCCCCTTTTACCTACCATGCACACTACCTTCTTGAGCATACCGTTGTGGAAAAAAAATCGTAACTTAATGTGATCTGAAGACGGCAGTCAATTACTTCTTTGAGTCACAGCTCCCTCACTCCTGGATAAAAGGCATTAGTGATTTACCCAAAAGATAATAGAAGGTTGTTGATCTCTTCGGTGAAAATATTACCAAAAATTGGTTGGGCTGGAAAATTTTAGAAATGATTTGAAAAAGACCTTGATTGTATTGCAGGACTTTCCTTCCAACCTAATATACATATAGTAAGGGTTACACAGTCCGCTCAGAAAGTAAGTTAATTATTTATTCATTTATTTGGAAACGCGAACAGAGGTCGCGCGAGTACTAATACAACAGAGCTCCGTAGAACATTATGACATGCAACGTAACTGAGAAGAGAAAAGAAAAAAAATAAAAGTGAACGCAATAAAATAGTATAATACTTAGAAAAAAAATGGAATTCAAATGAAAAGGAACTCTAACGTAGCCTCTGAAGCAGACCTAATCAGACATCATACTCTTGAAAGGGGAGGACGGGGAAAGCTTGAAAACATCACTTTCAAGCATTTTGTTAAAGTCCGCAAGCCCTCTAATAGAGAAGTAATTGAACCTGACGCTAGTCCTGCTTTTCGGAGCCCGAACCTGGAGTTAGTCCTGCTTTTCGGAGCCCCAAGCGTGACCTCAACTCCTCTAGTATTAGTAGTGACAAAACTGAAAAACCAGAAGGTGCAGAACAAGTTCTACCTGTAAGGATTTTGAAAGCCACGAGCAAATTGAAATTCTTCCTTCTATTGCACACTGGCTAAACCGAATTGCCTACTTCTTTCAGACCCATTAGTAATGAAGTGATAGCTGAGGCCACTGCAACTAGGACAAGCTTACGGGTGAAATTGCTCTGGACATTGATTCCAGTCACTGATTGATTAATCAATGACTTTCTCAACATGGATAACATCCGTGAAGAGAATCTCATACGCATCTATTACCGACTCCTGATATTTTCTTGTAGGAGGGTTTTTAAAGAGTGAGACAACTCCGCCACCAGTTTTGTGCAATCGATCACATCTAATAGCCACGTAACAGGATCTGGGAGAAGAAAAAAGTGGGGCGATTTCATTTTTGGAAGTAAGCCAAGACTCCGTGAGTAGGGCCATGTCATACTTCTTAGTTGAGAAGCGAAATTTGTAGCGCTGCCGTTTTTCTGATATTGGTGAGCGTGCTCGGATGGCCTGAGAGACAGCAAAGGTTTCCCGAAGAGTTTCTCTGAGATAGGTAATCAGCATTTCCAATAGAAACATCTCTAGTAGAAGTAGTTATGCGATCATTGTCAGTTGCTAGACTCAATCGACCTGAACGCTGCTTCCGCCTGCGGTCCCTCTCCTCTTTAGTATGCGATGGACGTATAAACACGCGCTCTGAGAAAAGAACCGCAGGGCACGCCTAATGCTTTCTCTCTGGAGTCGACTATCCACTAGCACAACCTCAATAGTCTGGGCCTCTGCCCTTCAGTCCTACGATACGATAGACACATTTAGGGAAACACCAGATTCCCAAAAAATTTAAAAAATCATTGGCACAACTAACATCATGTTTAACAGCATCGAAGGAACTTCTTGAGCCCCTCTCATAAACCCTCTGAGATTAGAATGGAACGATTGATTTCAGAATCATAAAAAGCGTCAGAATATGGAGACCCTAATTGAGAAGACGAAGTAGATTTTGTAGACTGCTGAGATATAGGGCTGGAGTTAGCAAGCAACAATTTTTCTATTTGATCTTCAGATTAGAATTTTTTCCCCTGATCCTTTTATTTTCTTGTAGTATCTCATCATTTCGCTTATTGACCTCGATCAGTTGTCGGCGCGTTTCATCGAGCACATCGATGATTATCTTCATGTTTGGGGGCATGTCGACCTCGCAAGCCATGGGCCGTAGTCGATCCAGAGCCTTCAACTTCCAGGTGGGAGGTCAATTTGAGAATGCTTAAATGGAACGGAAGAAGACCGTGAGGGAGTTCAAGTCATAATAATCAAACAGTAAAAAAAGAATGTCGGCAGATCAAGGATCGTCAATATTAACCGAACACAATCGATCAATCCAACGGACAACCGAAGAAAGATTACAGTTGAGAGTGGCGTGAAGCAAACAAACGGCAATAATTCAACCTCCCCACAACGAGTGGATGCAGTATACAGTACAGTGATTCAGCGAAGTCGTGTTCCAACAAAATACTCTTCGAAGTGAGCAGACAGCAAGAAGTAATGGGCGGCAGCATAGAAAAAATCGACTGCTAACAGCGTGAACCGACGGTTAACTGTAAATGTGAGGAACAAGGAACACGGTTCTGAAGAAGACGATTGCTGCTAAGGAAACGGGTTACAATGACTTGGCCGACGATCTGTGAGCATAACAGTGTTGACATTTTGTGCAACGGACGAAGAAAAGCCCTAACAGGTCTGAGTAGAGAAGTGAGTGCTCGCATGTTAGCAACAAAGAACAACCATGTGACATTTGGAGGTATCTCTGAAGCCACGACCAAGATGATACAAGCATTATTCGGCTAACGTTTCGGCCAATCGCCTTCGTCAGAGCCTGGAAGCCAAAAAATATTCGAGACTCGTCCTGACCAAACGACGTTCAGACCTCAGCTTAGTTCAGGTGTGGCCTATAGATACCTAGGAAAGTCTTGTAAGTCACAAAAGGTAACTCACCTCAGACGTCACAAGAAGACCGTTGACCCTACTTTTTTTTGAATTGCGTATTTATACTATTCACAGTGGGTGGGCCCGAGTGTCCTGACCCCTACCTCGGACGCCGGTGGCAGTTGAAAACCACACAGGTTAAGGTACGGGGCAAGCTCGTTAGTTACAGCCAGACATTCATCCTTCCGATTCATTTTTGGATTTTTAGCGCTGATTCAAGAAGCTTCAAGAGTCTTTCGCGCTGAGGTCGTGGGTTCACGCATCAAGACCCATCAAGACCCCAAACTCTATCCTCGTGGTGGTGCCTACTATGGTCCCCCAAGGGTGTTTTAGGCCTTGATTTCATCAGGCCAACCAGTGTTCTCTAACTCTGCATATTAGAGGTCTTCCGGTCTCGCCTATGTACTCATCTCCACAGATGTTGCATGTGATCAAGTAGATCACACCTGACGTCATGCAGTCACCCCCTCGTCCGTTGGGACAAATGATACAGTGGAGGGTCGTGCAGGAGCGATCATGGAGACGGTTTTGTACCAGCCTCTGCTTTAGATTTCTAGGGGGACTTCAACCATCCGGACCGTATCATCGAGCCCACACTTCGCAAGGTCATTCACACGTATAGACTGACGGAGTCCGAAAAGAAAGGTAGGCAAAAAGGCACCTTCTCCGAATTCTCAGTTCTTGACTCGTGTGGTTTCCGTTGGGGTGGTCTGCCATAGTGCTGGTTCCTCAGGGGATACCCATTGGAAAGAGCCACCTTTCTAGCGAATTCCACGGATTCTACTTGATCTTGGCCCCTCGATGAGGCCATTTTCGCAGTTCTGATCATATTCGCCGTGATAGCCCGCTTGATTTTGCGTGGATGCGCCGACCTAAAATGGACTAAAATATTCTTCCTGGTGGGCTTGATGTACCATTTTGTTCGCAGGAAGCCTCGCTCAAGCTGAACGTGCATGTTGAGGAACGGCAACCACTTATCATTTGGCTTCTCTCGTGTGAACCGTATTTTGTCAGCCTGGCTGTTCAGCAATTCGAAGCAGGTGTCCATTTCTTTTTGGGTTGAGCAGGCGACGAAGCAATCGTCTACGTAGCGGCAGTAGAGGACAGGCCGGCGATCCAAAACGGGGTTTTCAATTTTTGACATGTAGGCAATGGTCAGCACGGGTGCTAGCCGTTGACCCATAGCTAAACCCCTGATCTGCTTGAAGTGTCGCCGTGACCACCCAAATATAGGGCAGTCCAGACACTCCTTGACCAACGTCATGACTTGGGAGACCGAAANTTTTGGGTTGAGCAGGCGACGAAGCAATCGTCTACGTAGCGACAGTAAAGGACAGGCCAGCGATCCAAAACGGTTTTTTGATTTTTGACATGTAGGCAATGGCCAGTACGGGTGCTAGCCGTTGACCCATAGCTAAACCCCTGATCTGCTTGAAGTGTCGCCGTGACCACCCAAATATAGGGCAGTCCAGACACTCCTTGACCAACGTCATGACTTGGGAGACCGAAAGCCCATACATATTTATTGACCCAGCATGTGTATTCGAAGTTCGTGGGTGACCTGCGTGGCGTCCCCGTTTGACACATTAGTGTACAGGGAGGTCACGTCAAATGATGCTATGACGTGGTTCCTTCTAAATCGGGTCTCTCGGAGTTGGTCAAGGAACTTCATGGTATTGCTGAGATGGGCAGGGAAGAAAGTTAGCAACTGGGCCAACACGAAGTTCAACAGCCAGGAAATTCTGTCTGTTGGACCGCCTACACTACTTATGATGGGACGAACTTGAAAGTCCAAGGGGTTGAGTGAGGACAGGGTGTCTGGTGAAAGTTTATGGGTTTTAACCAAGACATAGAGTACTGGGTAGACTGGAGGTCACACCTTAGACGTGTGCTTACTGTTTTTGGCAGATCTGCAGTACGTGCAATGTCCAACCAAACCCTGCTTAGACGGCGGTATGCCTTTGATATTCGTTCTCCGATGATGGTCGATAAACGGACACATCCTGTAGATGGGATTCGGTTATGGCAATATCCGAATTTCGCGGCATAACGACGAACTCGCCCCCCTTGTCGCCGACAGATATTTTAATGGTCTTGGAATTTACGGGATCGATAAGTTCGTTTAACCCCCGTTTTTGCGATGTAGTGAGATTGGAAGTGGGGCGTCGGTGAATGTTTCGCCTCATGATTTCGTAAACAGATGTAGCGAAAAGACGAAACTTCACATCCACGGTGGGATTGGGGTCCTGTGGTCGGCAGTATGGCGAGGGGAGGGGGATCGCAGGAAAATTTGATCCTGCTGGGTGTTCACGAGGATATTCCCGTAGCTTGGCCTTGCTACGCAGGTTGTCTTGTTAAGCCTGAAGACCACACAGGACTCTCCGCGGTACTTCACGACCTATCGATCGCACTTGAGCGAAACTGGGACCAAGGTCTAGAACCGATAACGCGTCTTCGGAAAGATTGATGCCGCCAATGGCTGTAACTCTAGGAGGTATAGACTCGGATTTCCCGCTGCTATCAGGTTGAGGGTGGTCTACACCGTTAGAGGTGGAAACCTGGCATTGTGAATCACGACACCTTTCTAGTTCTATGAGCCTACTGAACTCATTCTGAAGTCTTCGTTTGACGTTTGAGCGGATAGAATCGCAAACAGTTTTTGACTCACCCATGATCTTCTTCCAATGGGAGACTGGCAAATATCGCTCACAACTTAATTCTTTAGACATATACTTGTTTAACAATGTGAATAATTGATTCTTCTTGCTTCGCAATGCAGTCCTCAGTATGCGTAGCTGCAATTCTTGTATTTGCCGGCTGCCAACAGGGAGACCGCATACCTCGTGCAATTTCTTCTTTTTGATGAAATTCGGAATTGCTCGGTGCTGCAGTCAGTGCCGTAGGATGTGGGTGGTCTGTTTGAGTACAACGATTTTCTGTAGCAGCGAAAGGGCTTCCTTGACCAGTCGAAAGAATTTGGCTGGTACGTCTTTCAACAGCAACCATGTTCGACTATCATTTAATCTTGGCATAGTATAGATGTAACTTTTGGAGGTCTATCTGAAGCCACGACCAAGATGATACAAGCTTTATTCGGCTAACGTTTCGGCCAATCGCCTTCGTCAGAGCCTGGAAGCCAAAAAATATTTGAGACTCATCCTGACCAAACGACGTTCAGACTTCAGCTTAGTTCAGGTGTGGCCTATAGATACCTAAGAAAGTCCTGTGAATTGACCCTACTTTTTTTTGAATTCAACCAAGTGACATGTAAAAAAAAACATGTTCTGCATATCCTGCACCATATAAAGTTCTCTAAGCAAATTGTAGAGACCCGCGTTCACAATATTACGTAGCTCTCCACCAGTCATGGTGAATACGGGCCCAGAAGCAGCACTGTCGATGCAACGCGTACAGCAGGCCCTCTAAGGTTTATGGCAAAAAACGCTGTGTTGTGCTGTGCCGTTGGGCCTTCCTCACCCCACTTGCTGTTGTAAACCACGTTAAATGGCAACCTGGTTGTTTTGTCAAGCTCATGTGAGAGCAAAGCCTGGCTGTTAATGTGCTCAATTACGTCGTTTCTATGCATGTGTAGTCTAAAAATGATGAGAATATTACTCGACATTCTTATTGCAAAAACTTTATTTCGGAAAAGTGATATCAATGTAGTCTTCAAAACAGAAAAACCTCCCAAGTGGGTCTCCATTCGCGATGAGTGGGTTTATGTGCGGATGAGCGTGCACATGTACAGGTAAGAATGCTTCTATTGTGCATTCGATCGTGTAAATACTTATCTACGTATTCGTGTTCATGTCTGTGTAAGTGATTTGTGTAGACACATGTGTGTCTTTGTATGTGTATGTATACGTGTGTGCGCGTGCTTATATGTGTACGCTATGTGTGCATTAGTGTGTACGTGTGCATGTGTGTTTGGCGTGAAGAACGAAGATAAGACACGGTGGCACGAACATTGCCGGGAGTACATATTACACAATGTCCCGCGAAGTACAGAAAAACAGCAGTGCTGCGCTCGAAAACGCAGATACCAGATATGATGGTGCAGCGCTAGGTGAGATGGAAAATACGGGGACGAGAGGATGCAATGACGTGTCCATGTCTGGCTCACGGAGTTTAAAAGTTAAGACCGATACCGATGTACAGGGACGCATCAAATTTGTTGAAAAAGCTAGTCACATGCGAATAATTGCTTGGCAAAAGTGGCGAAACATTTCCGCGTAGTTGACGAGAGACGCGAACAAATGAAGCTGTTATAGAACGACAACTAAAGGGCATCTTGAGGAGACTGGAGTGATTTAGGTGCAGTATTGAAAACCGATATCGTATGAAAGCGCCAGAGATATCCTTATACAGTACTTTGACTGGAACAGAGAGTTCGCGGCGAACCTTAGAGGCCTTCTAGATCATGGCTAAGCCTCCTAGAATAAGCAGCAGGGGAGCTGACGCCCTTCCTTGCACTGTGGCTTTCAAAATTATACATTCGATCCACCAGGACTCTTGGTCAGCTAATGAAGCAAGTTTACATGAGACTCACCCTATTTAAACCGCATTCCTTCCAGTTTGGGGTAAACGGTGGACTGCACAGGTTGAGTATACTGAAGGTCAGTTGGTCTGACAATTACTGTCTTCGTAACATTAGTTTACGTGGTGTTGGAATCATGGTTGCACTGCCCAGAAATTAAAAGTCATGACCGGAAATAAAATGACGTGATTCACTGAGAGTCGAACTTGGGTCTACTTTAGTCGAAGCTTTCACTTGTATCATACTAATATAATCCACTAAGCATGTCTGTTGGTGTATTTGTATATGTAGATCGGGAATTCACCCCTGGACCTAGAGCATTGGACCTAGAGCAATCAAATTTGGTAGGAGTACAGGGGCAGGAAGGGAACACTTATGGCAGGACGGACTTACAGGGGCTGGCGCTAAATAAATGTTTGATCGGAATTTCATAACCCCTGCTCCCGTGGATCTAGAACGTTCAAATTTTGTATGAATACAGGTGGCAGGATGGTAAAACCTTTGGTAGATGACAAAACTGGACACTGCCCACAAGAAGTGGGGTTTGCGCGAAATAAATGGTTGGGGAAAACTCATAACTCCTGTTTTCGTGGATCTGGGGCGATCAAATTTTGTACGAGTGCAGGCGACGTTGTGGGAAAACTGATAAGTTGTAGGACTACGCTCGGCCCAAAAAGGCTGGGGAGTGGGTGGAAACTAGCAATTTGAAGGTGGGCTATTCAAATTTGCTAGGTGTACAAGCGGCAAAATGGGTACACTGAAGAAGGTTCTAGGACTAGACTACGCTCACAAGGGTCGGGGTTCGAGCGAAGTGAATGTTTGAACGAAAACGCTTGAGCGTCGCTCCGGTGGACCTAGAATGTTCGAATTTTGCAGGAGCACAGGCAGCATTGTGGCAACTTTGATGATAGGTGGTAGGACTAACTCCGCCCACAAAAGGTGCGGCGTGGGCGAAAACTTTTAATTTGAACTTGGGACATTCCAATCTGGTAGGGGGGCAGGCGGTAGGAAGGGAATGCTAATAGATATCAAAAAGCCTGATTGTTAAGGGGCGGGGCGTGCGCGGAAATTTCTAATTTGGACGTAGGGCGTTCAAATATTGCCCCAGTACAGGCTGCAGGATTAGACACCGAATGTAGGTAGTAAAACCTGGATCCCGCTCGCGAGAGCGAAGGGATTATGGAGGGAGGGGAGCATGCGTGAAATGCGCGCAACATGAGTGATAACACGTAGTAAATTGAAAGAAGAGGGGAATGAACAATCTTAGTTGAACACATAGAACTGGAGCAGGACCTCGGGCAGGCCAAGCACGAAGGATGTCGGTAAAAGTGTGTTCCACTGGAAGACAATAGCCATTGGACCAGAGCTTGTAAATTTGGGGGGGGGGGGAATGAATGCAAGTGGAGGGTTAACTTAAATATAAGAAAGAGGAGAGCCCATTGTCAGCTGGGCGATCCCACTTGTTCTTCAATATTACGTTACAAATTGTCTGTCCGCTGCCCATTTGTTTGTCCAAGTTTCAATCGAGTTCGACGCGCGTCCTTTCAAGTTAAGAGGCGATATTATTCACCAAGGATTGTTTCTGGTTCCTAATTTCTTCCCATGAAATATACCGATGAAAAAAATGGGATGTTCTGTGGTCAGATATACTGGGTTCAAATCAAACAGAGATCTGGCTCTCGGCTAATTCACTGGCTACATTATACCGCTGGAAACCACACATCAGAGCAATCTTTTTCATGACTATGCCGCAAGACCAACCAAGATAAGAGTAAATTTCTTTCAAAATATAGTGGTTCTCATACCTTTGGAAACTTTGAGAGCGGTATAACGGGCCATTTCCTCAGATTCTGCGTTCGCAGAACTGTCTCAAACAAAACGAAATCAGGTGGTGACAAGTTCATAGGAGTTCTCATTGACATGACGCCAAGGGCGGCACAACGAGAATTTTCTGAAGCAAAACCTGATAATTGTATAGCAGCCTTCATATCCTCTGAGCAACAAAAAAAGATGCATACCTTCCGCTAATGTGTAGATAAGTTGAGGACAAAAAAGGTCGCTTAGCTTATCTTTTGCCAATATATTGAAGAGTGAGCTTGGTAGTACGCGCAACAGCTTCTCACAAAATATCAGAGGAGACAGAGTGTGATGGAAGTTGATACTACCGAGAACTTTCGGGAAAGCATTATTCACCTCAAAAAGGTAGCAAACCAGAATACAGATTTTGGAGGTATTAGAAAACCTATGTTAACAATGATCGGAAAAAAACCTCCACTAACAATCATCAAAACAAACCGGTATGCTTTTTCCACATAGTCTTTTCATAGAAGAGCCTTCAGATTCAGGAACAACCGATGACACATGCAACTCAGTCAAGGGTAAGAGAAGAACAGCGCCCGCTGACGGATGGGCGCGACCTAAAAACGATAAAATCAGAACCCCCAAAGAGCATATACAGTGTACGGTCCCTTAGCCGTAAATGGAACTGCAACGTGCAACGAAACTGCGTTGGGGAAAAGCTCTCGCCAGCCATAAAAAGGTGTTTTCAGATCGAAAATTGTTCTACTTAGGGAACTTCTAAGGATTAAGTTTTGGGTGGCCTTGCTGAAAACACCGCACGTCTTCAGGCTGCTGACTTGGATAGTTTACCAACTAGTCAGAATAGTAATTCAATGTTGATGCAGTGCTACGAAGAAGGCGGGCAATATCCACAAAGAGCTCAGCCCTGCACAACATCTTTAACTGTTTTCGGCCTAGCTTCCAATGCTTACGCTCACAGATGTCACACATTCCACTTTCCATATCCCCCGAACTAAAACAGCACCATTTACATTTTTAAGCTGTTTCGTTTGAGGATATCTCAGAGTTGAATGAAGTTTCAAAAAACTATCTTTAGGACTACTTTGGCGACTCCTGCAGGTGAAGTTTTGCGGCATTTCCTTCTGATCGGGAAATATTCACTCTTCGAGAAAATACCAAAACCTAGCTCGTCATTTCCAAAGAGCCGGTGAAGAATCCAACATGCTGTGCATACTTTACGAGGAAAAGCGGTTTTAAATTTCAGCTGCTAATCAAAAATCTGAACTTCGCGTCGTAAATAGTACTACCATTTACTCGGATTACCGCAGCTCATTTCGCTCTATTTGAATCCGCCAGAAGGACCTACTCCTTGACTCTTTCGAATATTCGTTCGTTAAGGAACGTTGGGCGCTTCAAGAAAAATATTCGGAAAAATTACAACTCCCTTATACGAGCCTCAATCGACGAACCCGGAAGGGTTTCAGATTTCCATGGAACTTTGAATATAGACCTAGGTATATCGATAGGGCTTGGAAAGTTATTAACAAATAAGTGAGTTAAAAGTGCTAAATGAGTCTACCAAAAAAGTTGTGATTGCTCGAAGTTTGCATTTTTAAGCATGGAGGGATAATGCCAGTAGATAAGCGCATTGCCCGCAGCAACCGCAACGGCCCCCGTAGCGTAGTGGTAGTGCTCTCCCACTCCAGGTGAACGCTGATGGTTTGCTTCCCGTTGTTGGTTTCTCTTATGCAAAACATGCTTGCATTCGAATAAAGGCTCTTAAATCGTTTTTTCGAATTTAAGTTAGCGCTCCGTTTCTGCTATCATCTGCGACCACCTATCTATCTCCTATCACTGCACTCATTTGAAATTACTCCACAACTTTTTGTAACTCTTTCATTTTTGGCATCAAAACACATATACCCACACCCGAAGTGAAATAGTCTTGGACATGCGAGAAAACACAACATCGACATAATAACCCAAAAAATGGGTAGAGAAGAAACCGTGTATTTTTGATCTTGAATCGATATCGTGTTTTATTTACGTTGTAGAGAGACGACATGTATGAGGTTTGCATTTTGTGAACGACATACCTGCTTCACTCACTTTTTGGATTGTTCCATCGATATTCAGCTTTTTACGCATATCTGTCTTGAAAGATTCGCGTTTCCCCCTCCACTTCAAGAAATTTCAAGTGTGTGGGGATAGGTAATAGATAGGTGATCGCAAATGATAGCCGGAACAAAGCGCTGACTTAAATTAGTGAGAAGAAGCGGTTCAGGAGCTTTTATTCGGATGAAAGCCCGTTTTGTAAAAGCGAGAACGAAAACGAGGAGCAAACCCTCATCGCTGAAAGGGAGAGTGGGAGAGCACTGCCACTACACCACGGGGACGGGGGGCGCGCGAATCACGCGTGACCCCATTAGGCTCTTCGCGCACGCAGCATCGTTTCAGTACCTTTCTGTTGAGATGGACCAAATAAACTTGCAGCAGTCCACGGCTTCACCATGAATAGAGCAAATCTCATTACTATAGCAAAAAAGCCCCTTCGAGATTGAGAATTCACCTCATAGGTCAACAATTTACTCGTCAAACGTTCAAAATAAGAATACCTTCAAATTTTTTGATTCTAGAGAGCGCAATCCTTCTGTAAACGTGCACAATTGGTCAATTCTTTACTTATTCTACTTTTAAGTTCTNATTTCTTCCGTTATGATAGTAGGCATGATGTTTTAGCGCTTTTTGCCGATGACCTCATTATATTGGCGCGTGAATCGCACCACACCCCACGGGGACCTCTGTGGCTATTGTGGGCAACTGCGCTTATCAACTGGCACTATCTCTCCATGCTTTGCGCATGCAGTCTTTGAACTTTTTCGGTACTCATATAGCAACTTCAATTTCTAAATTTGTTAATGGCTTCCCAAACCCTATCGACATTTATAGAGTAAGAGTCACGAGCTTCAGGGTCATTCATGGGTAGACTTCCATTTATTTGTGAGGGGCAGTGTATGTCTACATATTTATGTACAGTAGCGCTCAAAAGTCCTCAGTGGAATGCTTCTTCAGTCGTACTTTTCAGTCGTAACTCTTTTCCTAGTGAATCGAATCATGCGAAATTTCAATGTGTAGCATGGATGTCCTGTGAATATTTACCACTACTGACCTGCAATCTGATCATGCTCTAGATATACTAAAGAGCTTGAACTCAAAATCAACTGAAAACACAGATGATAGTCCTTCTAGAGTTTTTTCCTTTTTTGCCATGTCTAAAGTGAACGAGCGCTAATGCCGAACATAGTAGAGGAGAAAACGTAGATAAGGTGCGAATAACGGGTGAAGTTAATATCTTGCTTATGACAAAGTCTACTATCGCATCAAGCCCTTGCTCTTAGTTATGAAGATATTGCTGTTGCAGTCAAATAGTGCTGGGTAGGGTGAAATATGCTCTAGCTAAACATATCCAAATTTCACGCGATTTGGTCTACTAAGAAAAAAGCTATGAACGAAAAAGCGTCAAAGCGTTTGACCGAAAACTTTTGAGCGCTACTGTACGTAGGTGGAAGTGGTGTGGTGGCAAGTGGCGCACTTCACACACGCACAGTCACTGTTTCAAATCCCGGACCGATATCTGCCTAGGCAAGCAAGCCTTCTGTCCTTCCGGAGTTGCTTAATTGGTGCCAGGCTCGTCTGAGAGGATAAAAAGCACTGACTTGTAAAGCGGCTGGCCAACGCAAGTCAATGTATACATAGGCCACATACGCATTCAATAGGCCACGATTCTGAATGAGAGTCAAATGCGTGGGCGCATCCCTCAGACGGGATTGATCAACGCACCAAGACTTTATCCAAGACTTATATCCCTCAAAGTCGAGCATCTTTGCCTTTATTTTTTTTTTTGACTGATGGATCATTAACACTTTGACGACCATGGCATCCGCTGGTGGGTGCCACCATGGTTTTTACCTTTATTTGCATATTTGAAACTAATTTAATACTTGCATATTTATCAACAAAATTCATAGTATTCATATTCAACATGGTTCACATTACTGTTTTATCGAAGCTTATTTATTACAAACATATGTCTATTTACAATGGGGTATCACTGAAGAAAAACCTAGGTACTTCCGCAAGATTTGTGTACATCTTGGAAATATTGCAGTCGTCGAAGCCGTGACAATTGCTGCATTAGGTTCACTTTCTTGGCATGTACTCTAGCATATTGACGACTGAGTCGTTTATCACTTTGCTGTAACAACTTTTACACTTGGTCCATTAGTGTCTACCCCTGATCCTTCAATTAACTTGCGTTTTTTTCCATGACTTGTGCTGCTTTTTTTCCATCAAGGTTCATCAGTATCTCGGCAAGTGCAATTTTGAAGTCGTTAAACTTCATCCTATAGTTCTGATTATAGAGCATCCAGGTGTTCACAAGAGCAGTCTGGGCTAGCAGATGGAAGAAGAGCCTTATGTACCATTTGGCTGTTTTCCTGAAAAACGGAGTGTACGAAGCCATTTGTTCACTCTACAAAACCCTTCATCCTGTTGTATTTTTCCACAGCTTTAAGCTTTTCGTCTTGTCGAAAGCAGGCAGATTTTCCTTTTGTTTCTCCGCTTCAGAAGCAGAATCCCTCGATTATTTTGCTGGAAATATATATATCTTTTTTCAAGAGCTTGTTCTTCACAGCGAGCGGAATTCCCTTGCGGCATTTCCTGATAGTTCCGATAAGATTGGTTTTCCGTGGAAGCAAAAAGTTTGCTAGAGACAGACTTGCATACCAATTATCAGTGCACAGATTTCTTCCTTGATTCAAATAACCTTCCAAAAGTTCCATAACCACTGCGTCAGCTACACTTCCTGTACTTGAGGAGTCCCTGCCTGCATAAACCTTCACATTCAAAGTGTACGCACGCTTGCAACAGAGTTTGAACAGTTTGACACCGTACATGTGGCTCTTAGATTTATTGAATTGCTTGAATGCGATCCGTCCTTCGAATGGTACCATTGTTTCATAAACGGGAAGTCCCTTTTCTGGCTTGCACATTCGTTGAAAGGAAGTTTTGAGGAAGTCCAAAACCGGTTGAATTTTGTAGAGTCTATTTTCCTTGTCGGCATTCTCGGTGTCTACGAAGTGCAAGCGTGTTAGTAGGGCTTCAAAACGATTTCTGATCATGATTTTAGTCGCCGGAGAACATCAAAAATAGGCTCTGTAGACCAGTAATCCTGCATGCTCGGCAACTTCCCATGTAGAGACAGATACCGAAAAATCGTTTCATTTCCTCGACAGTTGTATCGTTCCAGTCTTTATTTTCAACCATCATTTTCTCCCTTGCATATCTATTCGTCCCTGTAACAATGAGATCTAAAAATTCATTGTTAGGAAGAGCTGGTAACAATCAATAGGCCTCGTACATTCTGAACAGCATATTCTGGCTCATTTTCCTAATTGAAAACGAGTCGGTCATAAGGAGCAGCGACTTCATCGCAAGCTTGTTCGTCATCTGAACTGGTACAACCAAGGGAGTCATCATTCAGCAGAGACTAATCTTCCTCGCCAAAACTGGCCGACTTATCTGAGGAGCCATATAGCCCTGCGACGTCGTCAACG